TATATATATATATTGGCTTTCTTTGCCACTGGTTTCTGTTTAATGGTGTATTTGATCAGAACTAATTTTAAAAAATGTTCAAAACCAGTTAAAGATGTTGCTTTCATAACCGTTGAAACTTTTTCTTTTTGTTTCCTTATGAGGCTTATATCATTTCAGATATTGTTTTCTCAGCCGATGTGCAGAAACTAAACTTTAACTGGATACAAAAAAATATTAACAGTGAAATTTGGTCAAGGAATATAACTAAAATAGATTCAGGGTAGTCTGGCTCAATGTTGTCCGGCAAACCAGCATAGACGGAAAATTATGATTTTGGGTCCTGATTCTGAACTGATGGAGGCAGTGGTGCCACCAGGGGTTGGCCAGGCCCACCCTGTGCAATGCCCTGGCCACTAGCCATACCGGGGGGTGGCCACCCCACTCTCAAGGGTAAATTGTAGTACCATCAGTTTAGCATTTCATCCCATTATGCACAGCCAGCAACATAACAATAAAAATCACACAATAAACCAAGATATGATTAGATGTTTACTTCCGTCTTTATGATTTCTACTGGCAGGTTTACCACAAAAGTAGATTCAAACCCTGAAAATATGGCTTTTAGTTTCAGTTTCAGCCACCCCAAGATTTTTAGTGGCCCCTTCTGACCACCCCAATGAAACATTTCTGGAGGCGGCACTGGTTTGAGGGAATCTGGAGAAAGTTATTCACAGAGAGCAGGCTGAAGGAGGAGCGTGGAGGAGGAAATCAAGAAAATTACTCAGCATGGATGTTCAGTGAAAGGAATCCAAGATGCTTGAGCTCCCCAGCCTGGAGGAACAAAAACAAAAGATTAATATGAAGAAAGATGAGGTAATTGCAGGAACACACTAGGGTCATTAATGAGCTGTCTTTAAATTATACATCTATAGTTTATAGCAATATAGTTCAGCTAGATTGTGGGTCTGGATTCTATAAAAACAGAAAAATATCCTTACCTAAGATGAAATAATAACTTCTATACCCTAACACATTGATTATAATCACTCTGAGATTAAAACAAACAGTAAAGGAAATTATCTTCATCAGTCATCATTTCCTGTCATTCAACAGCAGATAACAAAAATAATGCTGCATTAAGAATCTAAGATGTTTTGTCCCCCTAGTCCTCCTAAATGACCTTTAGAGAATGTATTTATGTTTTTTTTTTTTAATTAAATCTTTGTGTTTGACTTCTGCATAAAAAAAAGTAGCTAACTGAATGAAAAAAACTACTTATAGAGTGAGGTTATTTTTAATCTTCTTTTTTTAGATGCTTTTAGTGTTTTTATTTCCAGTAGTTCTGTCCAGTAGATGGCACTATAGACCATTATATTCATTCAGTTTTGATTCCCCGCAGTGGGACACTAACCTGACAACAGCCAGATGCATGTCTCGCTCCGCCTAGGCGGAGCGAGACATGCATCTGGGGGCACAGAGTATCATCTTAATGTGTGATAAATTGACAGTTTGTGTTCAGAGCTTGAAGGACCAACACCGCCATGGCGCAGCTTAGGAAACGCAGAGGGAAAACTTTGCATTTGAAGTCGGATTATTTTCCTCAATACTCATTCTTGATCGGACTCCTACTACTCGTTGGTAAGTACCAGCATATGAACTTTATATGACAGCCGTGAGTAATACCGCAAGCTGCAGCTCGTGCGCACGGGCCACACGCACTTCACACTCCGCTAAGTAGCCATAATGACACATTATATAAGCGCCCACATGTAGGCATATATATATATATATATATATATATATATATATATATATATATATATATATATATATATATATATATATATATAGTGCAGATGGGCCCAGTATTCAGGCGAGACAGACAGTAGGAAGTTTGAAAAGGCTTAGACCAGGAAAGGACCAGGAAGCGGTGGAAACGCAGCGGCTGGGAGATACAGGTGTGCACACCTATAATCTGTTATTACCTCAGACCGGTGGGCCGGAAGCAGATGACCACTTGTTTAAATGTTTTCAATTTATGCAATAAAAGTTTTTTTTTTTTTTCCTTTTTGGACGTTGAAACCATCTAATATTCCTCCTAGTTTTCACCTTTTCACATAAGTTAGTTAAAGAAAACAGAAATTTTCTAAAATTCTGTGTTTATATTTATAAGCATTTAAAGATACTAGCACCTTTAC